CTTCAGGTGTCGGCCACCAAAATAGGGGCCCTAACATGAGGCCCTGAATGAGGTCCCGGTTTCACAGTTGACTGGGCCCCCAATTAGGAATACCCTAAGCTCTCACATGAGGGAAACCCACACTAAGCCCTCATATAAGGGCTTACAGTGGGCTGCCAGCATAGGGACCTTAAAATTGTTTCCTGGTTTCATAACTGATTGGGGCCCCAAAATGCATGACCAAATTTTAAGCTCACATTTTTAGCCCATTGCTGGGATGACCTGCCAACGTTGAGGCCCACATGTGCCCACCATTACACATCACATGCAGGCAACTCACACTTAGTGCCTTTTAAACAGGCTAAGTGTGGGTTTGGCTGCAGTGGGGTCATTAACCCTGCCAATATATGTAAACATTTCCTCAATATTATGATATTTAGACATGGTATCTGTTTCTAAACACTGAACGTTAAAACAAACTACGAATCTTAATTCAGATAGAATCAACCAAAATAACCAACCATCATAACTCATACAAAGAATCCTTACTAACTTAATAATTCAACAGTTACTTGTAAACCAGAATCAGGATCCTAAGCTTGAAGTGCCAAATTTCATTTGTGTGTGAGGTGCATAACTCATAGCTCATAGTGAGGTGGATAACTACAGAAAAATGTCCAATGCCCAGAAATTTCCAACCCCAGAGACCTTCTAACCACACAAACCTCAAACAAACACACACACCCACAAACACTATGGAGGACAGTTTCTGCTAACATGAAAAAGAAATAAAAAAATAAACAATAAAATAAAATACAAATGTCAAAACCTAATGCAAATACTTGTAAAAAAAAACCCAAATGCACACATCAAAAAAACAAATAATTGAAGTATGACATCAATGCCTTTGCATACAAAAATAATTTATTTATTATTTTATGTTCTGGTCCCTGCTTTTCTGTAGACTTTTTAGTGCAGATGTTGCTTTAAAAGGCCAGTGTTTATTTGGTTGCTAGGGTGATTGCCCTTTGACCTGTGTTTAAGCCATCTTTGTTTTAGAGATAAACAAGCATGTGGTCTAGCTGCTCACCTCCAAGGCCTATCTGCATCCATCCTTCTTGTAATTACTTTGTGGAAGCATTGTTTGTAAGTAGACTTATCAACACCTTAATTATCCCTTTGTTTTTGTCCATATTTGTTGAATATGCCGATACCCACCAATATGTTGGTGCAATGTAACTGTAGCCACTGCAGTAGCTTTCAGTTCTTACCCTGGGTACTTAGCTACAGGGGCTAGCTATATTAAGAATAGTCCTGTAAGCAAGCAATGTGAAATATAAATGCAATTATAGACAAAGGTATTCTAATATTGCCATATTCTGTATGTGTCTGTATATTAGATTCGATTAGTTATTGGATTCTTTTATTGTCCTCAGAAGAGGAAATTTGTTTTCACAGCCTGGGCCATTCATACAGTGTTCTGGGACATACAAGATCAGACATTTGAAAAATGACATACATTTGGATAAACACTATCAGGACAGACAAAGTACAAGCAACCAAAACCCATCCATAGAAGCACATTGACACATGAGGCCTACATGTATGCATCAGTTGCTCTCTTTGAGATCAGATTTTAAACATCTATTTTAGAGGGGTAGCTTCTTAAGGGCTGATATCGCTGAAGGTGCGAAACTTTTTGCAAAACAGGCTTTTTTTTACACACTAACATTCTGTATCTCTGGCCTGGAAGTTAAATAAAGAAAAGGTGCAGTGAGTGATCTGGTTCTTGTACTATTGTGTTTGCCTTTTACCTTTCTTGTGTTTGGCTTTCTTTCTTGCCTTTCGCCTTTCTTCCTTGTTGTTTAGATTTGCCAGGCTGTGTGTGGGAAGGCCTATAATGAGGCGATATGTGTAACAGTTTGTTAATGTTTGACACTTTTAACATTTGTAAAGAAACAGGTTGAGCAGTACAGGATGATAGGCTCAATTATGCTTCTGTAGAGGAGCAAGAGCAATGAAGGCGCTACATAAAGTGCCCTTAGCTTTTTGATAACAGAAAGTCACTGCTGACATCTCTTACAGAGGTCTGTTACATATTGGTCAAAGCTGATTTTACTATCCAAATGAAGTCCAAGGTACTTAAAACAGTCTACCACAACCACATCCTCCCCCTTGATTGTGATTGGGTTATGAACGGTGCAGTGGGAGTTTGGCGAGCTGATGATCATCTCCTTTGTCTTTGAGACATTCAGCTGTAGATGGCTATCTGTGCACCATTGTGTTAGACAGGAGAGGGAATACTGGTAGGCTGTGACTGAGTTATTGTCTTTAACAAGTCAAAGTATAGCAGGGTCATCTGAATACTTTAGATATGTGGTGACTACTGAAGGGCTTCTACACTCGTTAGTGGACTAGGTGTACAGAAAAGGACTGAGAACACAGCCTTTTGGAGCTCCTGTGTTAGTAGTGGAGGTTCAGGACAGGACCTTACCTATCCTAACAGCTTGCGCTCTGTTACGTACAAAGCAGTGCACCCAGTGGATAAGAAGTGGAGGGACATTCAGGTGGTGGAGTTTTTTATTAATCTGATGTCGCTGGGTAGTGTTGAAGGCAGAGCTGAAATCAATGAAGAGAACTCTGGCAAAGTCACCTGGTGTCTCTAGTTGCTGGAGCAGGGAGTGGAGGAGACATGCCACAGTGTCCTCTGTTCCCCGTTTAGCCCTATAGGTAAACTGATGAGGACCCAGCTGTGGTCTGACAGCTGGAAGAGTTCAACACCAGTTTTTCCAGGCATTTCATAACTATTAAAGTTAATGCAATTGGCCAATAATTATTTAGCTCAGAGGGTCGTGATTTTTTCGGGCACAGGAATGATGGTATGTATCAATATGTTGTGCAGTGCCGCACTTAGCCCTGTCATCCCTTACGTTCAGCACTAAATAGGATAGCTACAGACAATAAGAGTAGGGAGAGACAGGAGTACAACAGCACAGACAGTGTCGTCACAGCAGAGCATGCAGGGTAGTGTCTGTATATACACAGTGGGCCTGTGTTAGACATGTATATAGACCTGATTTTTATTCAAATCCATTTTTCTTGTTGTCCTCTACTGTTGCCCAGCGAAAAGTTCCTTCAAGCCGCCTGCCCCTCCTTGCTCTCCACCTCTGGTCTCTCAGGGTATGTGTGCCCTGGATCTTCAGCTGCTTCAAGTCGACCAGAGTCTTGCAAACTCTATTTGGAGCTTCCAATCCAGGCTGGTTGCCATCGCAACACAGTCCAGCGTCCGTCCCCAGCTGTGTTTTGCCCAGCTTCTGTTCTCACTGGCCCCTCTACCTCCACCACTGTGCCAACTCTGTTCTCTGCTCCCTCTGCAGCTCCAGCTCCTTGCTGCCCTTCCTGTCTTCGGTCTCTCCACTGCTCCGTGTGTGTAAGCCTTGTGTTGGCCTTTCGTTGCTCCTGCTGCATTTGTCTCTCCTTGCATGAGGTCTGATATCCTTCAGGGTAAGAACTTGGCATCCATACTGCTCCCTTCTCTAGCTGTCAAGCATCGGATGGTTAATTGCAGTGACGTTTTTCTTAAAATATCTGATTCTAGTCTGCAGCACAGACTCTCTTTTGGGGAGTTTATCATTTAGCATTTTTTGGGATATATAATTCCAGACTGGACTGGTCGGAAATGGACTATGCTCTGGTCTGCGATGTTTGTAGTTCCCATGGCCGCTTCTCTGCCCTAGGGCCTATGCTAGTGTGGCTGCGTCTACTGTGTGTGGTGTTGAACTTGGGTCAGATCTGTGGTTCTGTTCTTGGCTCCTCATGAGGTGGAATGGCATCTTTTTTTCTTTCATGCTGACGTGGCATGTCCTCTGACTCTGTCACTCTTTTCGGGGGTATTTCCAAGGGCAATGGTTCACAGAAAAATGGCCAGTTGAATTCTCTGACTTTGTCCTTGGATCTGCTTCCTTGACCCTTTATGAAATTTAGCCCATTGTAGTCACAAGTGTTCTATGGGGAAAGGCTTGGTCATGTAAATATGTTTTGTGACCGTGAAACTGTGGTTGCCATTATACAAAGGAAGGTCTTCATGTCATACTGTCATGTCCTTACTAAGACATTGAAACATGGAAATCAGTTATGCAAAATTTTATAATTAAGACTGAACATATTTCAGGACACCATAATGCTTTTGCTAATGTACTCTCTTGCTCCTGCTTGCAGGAGTTCAGATGTCCAGCAGCCAACAAGGATCCAATGCCTTGCCCTCCATTCTCTGACCTCATTTTGAAATAAACAGCTATTGTAGCATAATAGACTAGATTCTGCTCTCAGAGCTTAAATTCAGCATGGTCATCATTTATACTACTCTGTTTTTTCCTCCAGATTCCTGTTTCCCCTGTCCTTGTATCCACGGTGTGTACAATTGTCTTAAAACCTCATCAATTCATGTAATATTAGGGGTCATTCAGTTTAATACCAGATGTAATGATCCTAGCTATCCCTGTTCATTCTCTAACCCTTCTACTTGCTTGCTTCTCAAAGGTTCAGTTAAATCAACACACAAAAAAAAAAAAAAATGGATAAACAAATACCAATAACTCTTAACATACTACAGATGCTAGTCTTTATTCTTTGTGGAGGTCTTTCTACTCCTTATATAAACAATTTACACAAAGCTGCTTTTCTTGTACTGTTTTACAGTTTCATGCACCCTGGGGAATTTACGTCTGACACTGTTTTATGATCTAGCACAGGGACTCACAATATTAGATCTACGTTTTTTGCCTCAATTTTTTCTCTCTCTCTCTCTCTCTCCCTTAAAATGCTCCAAGACTGAGTGTTCAGAACTAGACATTTGTATTAAAATCTCCAGACTGAACAAGTCCTTCTGCCCCTAGTTCTCTACGGCTTTCTATCTCAAATCTTGCCCATGTACATCTAATTCCCCTATATTCATTGCAGCCTTCCCATGACTAAACAATGGTTCAGGGTGCATTTAGCTGCTTAAGCTAACATATGAGACCATACTTACCTGGCAGGGGTGATATTATGATCATGAAGGTGGTTCACCCAGGGCAAGGCTCTGCCATTGCACTTCGGTTGTGCTGACCCTTATGAATTCCCCAAGTGCGGTAATCTCGACTGCATAATTTCTGATAGTGGGGGACTGCATTCGTGCTCTCTCTTGACAAATTTATTGCATTTCATTGGCTCTGTACCTGTACTCCGCACAATGACAAAGTTTAATCTAATGTAATCTAATCTAATATGCTCACCTCATCATTAATGCTCAATTGGTGCTCTCAAAACTTGACTATGGTATGCCATTTTATTCTAGAAAGCCACTGGTGGTAGTTACCATTCTGCATAACTATTTCTAACCTAAATGAGGTACCTTATGCCCAGCTGCTCCCCTATCACTCATAATGCAACTGCAGTATTCACAGTGGCCTCATCATTGGCAAGCTCTTTTCACTAATCGCGCTCAACTTCCATATGCTCAGTCACTTTCTAACAGCTCATACTAATACTGTGGTCCTGAGTATTGCGTGCCACAGTCACATTCGCACACTCACACTTTACTAAGCTGAGCTTAAGCAATTGTCACCATGCAGTCTCATTGCCCTGAGCCAACACAATGCATGCATGGGCCTGTGGCCCCAAGCTAATGTCATTCATCAATGGGATTGAAGCCTTAAGCTATTGAAGAGCTGACAATACAACATTGGCTTACTGTCAACCAATAACATATGCAAATAACAAAGACCCCCATGACACCATTTCCCTAGAATCAAGGTAAGTGTACACATTTATTAATCTCTTACAATGTCTCACTCTTTATTGAGGTGTAATGTCTAGACACTGTTGGTGATGTGTCCTGGACACTTACATCATGACACACCCCCCTAGCTTGTCACTCCTCTAAGTGTCGAGATAGGAAGTCAGCTAATTTTGACATCCTTTTCTGTACTTCACTTGGAACTTGAAGGGCTGCAGTGACAAATACCAGCGGGTAATTCTGGCATTAGAATATTTTATTGTCCGCATCCAGCTCTATGGTCCATTTCCAGTGTGAAGTCAGTTCCTATTAGATAGTATTTTAAAGAGTCCAGGGCCCATTTCACTGCTAGGTCCTCTTTCTCTACAGTAGAATACTTTGTTTCTCTTGGAAACAACTTCCTGCTGATGTACAAGTAAGGTTTCAGGTCCTCTCATTCTTCTACAATACAGTACAGCACCCAGTCCCTTTCCCGAATCATCCGTCTGGAACACACATGGCCTATCAAAGTCTTTGGCTACATAGGACTGTCAGAACATAGACAAGTGTTTTAGGTCCTGAAGTGTAGCCTCATATTAATCGGTCCGTTTGACACTCTGTGGTTTATCCTTTTTGATAAGATCTGCCATTACCGCTGCCCTGCTGGCAAAGTTGGGTATGAATCTGCGACATAAACTGACCAGACCTATAACGGATTGCACCCTCCCCATGATGTCCTACAAATGACTACATCATCGATGTATGCTGCCGCGAACTCCTCAGTTCCTTTTTGGGACCTTGTCCATGAGTCTTTGAAATGTAGCAGCCGCTCCAATGCAGACCGAAATGCATTATGGAAAAATGACATAACCCACTCAGTACTCAAAAAGATGTCAGTTCCTCCGCTTTCCCTAGCCTCTCAATCGGTTCATTCGCTGTAGGCAGAGGAAATGAAGAATCAAAAGCAGATACTGCATTTAGTTTTGAAAAGTCAACACAAAATCTTCATCCTCCGTTCTTTTTAGGTACCAGGACCACAGGGCTGCACTACTGACTTTTTGACTGTTCAATTATTCCCATTTTTAGCATAGTCTCTACTTCTTTCTTTAACTGTGCAGGTACTTTTGCAGCTCGTTTGTCTAATCAGTTCTGTTTTAGTCAAGTGGATGTTGTGCTGCACAATGTCTGTCCACCCAGGTTCCTCCCTGAACAGGCCCGATGGCATAACCTGCATCAGTTCATCCTGTTGCTTTGGCGTGGTCATGCCACCACCTGAGCATGTTGACGTGAAAGTTTTGAAGCTTTTTCTTTCTGTCAGGCATCAACAGTTCGTATGTTGCTTGGTCAATACAGCTTTTCACTTCTTATGGCCCTTGCCACTTTGCGAGTAAGTGCCCTCTCCATGTGCTCTCGAACTTCAGAGGTCAACTGACTCATCTCTCATTTTGAGAACATATGACAAATGTTCAGTTTCTCACTTGGATTTTCTCCTTCCAAAGCTTATTTTAGGACATCCAGTGGGCCTCTGACTGGGCATCAGGGAAAATCCCGTTGAGGCATGTTGGAACTCCCTGTATGTGAACAGCAGATACAGAAGCCACGTGTCCCAGTCTGGTCCTGTTTCTGTCACATACGTGCGCAGCATGCTTTTTAGGGTCTTGTTGAAGCGTTCTACCATTGCATCAGTATGGCGTGATCTTCATGCCCCTTATACCCAGCAATGCAAAAACCTCTAAGTTGTTAAGATGTAAAGTTTGCACCCTGGTCAGTTAGTGCCTCTGTAGTTATTTCTACCCCAGAAATATGCTGAATTAAAGCTATTACAATCTGATGTTTTGCTCTTTCTTAGAGGAGAAGCCTCAAGGTAACGTGTCTCATAATTACAGATTACCAGGATGTATCAGTTCCCTCCTCGGCTTCTTGGTAAGGGGCCAACAACATCCAGGGCAATCCTTGACAATGGGACATCAATAATTGGCATGGTCATTAAGGGGATCCTGTTTTCTTCTCAGGGGGTGTTAGCTGACACTGTGGGCATGAATTACATAACTCGTTGATGTCTAGATGTTGACATGGCCAGTAAAATTGGCTGGCTATCCTATTCAATGTTTTTGCCTGGCCTAGGTGACCTGCCCATGGTTCTGAGTAACCTAATTTCAGAACTTCTTGTCTTCTGCATTTGGAGCCACTAGCTGCTTAGAATTTCCTTTGACTCTTTAGTTTGTCTTCTTTTACCACTAGCTGGCAGCTTTTTCCCTTTAGCCCACATTCTTTCCTGCACTTAGCATACAATGGCTTAAGCGTACCATCTTGCTTTTGTAATTGTGCTATGTTGCCTTGCACTGCATCTAACCCTGAACACCTGGCACCTCTGTTTACCAACACTTTGAAAGTTTTGTGATTTATCTTCACAGGTATGAGTCTCACTGTTTCTATCTTGTATTAAGTTATTTAAATCTGCTCTTGAACATGACATAACTGGTTTGAGCTAGCAGTGAACTTGGGACCATCTCTGATTTTTTGCCCTATTTGTTTGCACTTAAAAAAATGTAACGGCATTTCCTCTGCTTGCCACCTAAAGCTAACAGTGGTGCTCTTCCCCATAGCTTTACCTCTATTCAAACACTCTTTTGAGTTTGTTTGTCTAAAAGGTTGCATGGGACCATTGCCAAACCCTCTCTCAAATTTGCCGATGAACGCTTCCGCCATTTCAACTGCTTGGTTCACAGAATTTGGACTGCACTCGATGATCCAGCTCCTGAGTTCTGGGTTCACCATTCTCAGGTAGTACTTGAGAATGATGGTATTTCCTATTTCCTCTTTGGTTTTCTCACTCGATGTCATCCACTTTTCATACAGTCCTTTCAGCCTGGTAAAAAGCTCTCTCGGTGTTTCGCTCTCAAGAACTCTGCTGTTGCAGAAACACTGTCTGTAAGTCTCTTTGTTTATCTTGCACTTTTTCAGGATAGCAACCTTCACTTGCTCATAGTCCCAAGCATCCTTGCTGTAAATAGTTACATCCCATAGCTTTACCCTCCAGCAATGGGACAAGATGAAGTGCCCAGTCATCTATCCGCCACCTCACTGCCTGTGTCATCTGCTCGAACATACTGAGGTAAAGCTCAATGTCGTTATTTTCTTTGAGCAACGGTATCAGTGGAGTCTGCCATGCTGTTGTATGCACCTCATGACTGTGACCTGTGTTAGCTTGCATTGAGCTCAGGATCTGTGCTTCAGCTCGTGAACATGCTGCGTTTTGACGAGGCTTGGAACATTCCACTCAGGTGTTGTATACTCTTTACTGTGTTACTTGGCCGTGCCAGTGATACTGAAGGCAGATGTTGATAATGCTCTTCTTCATAAGCAGGCTCTTCCTGTTTCAAACTTTGTGTTGTTTGAACCTTTAAAGGAGGCATTGTCCAAACTTGAATTAGACATTGTACTGGAAACAGTCTCTGTTTTGAGTTGATTAATGAATACTCCACTGTGACAAAACTGTTGAAGTCTTTTGTGCTTGCTCCAGCTTGACTGACTGCTGTTGCAACTGTTCCTGCCAAGGCTCACTGCAGCCACCATATTGTGGTTCACCATCGTCACCATGCACATTGGGACAGGGTGTCACCAGTAGTGTCAGGCTTTTAGCAGGAAAGAAGCTTTGGGTTCCTCTTCAAGTAATGTCACACACATGTCCAGATAAGTTCAAGTGCTCTCAAACGTTTATTAGGTGTGGATTGCCAAGTAACATATTTACAGCAGTGATGGAGATTTAAAAACAAATCTAGTTCTTATGGTGATTCCATTAGCTCCTTCTGCTGCAGCCATTCGTGCTTAAAGTCTAACCGTCAGTCTGAAGCAACTAAATATGTCTTGAGGCCACAAGGCCAGACTATACACTACGCCTTGAACCTACTTTTTGTCCCCCAAGTAACCCCTATAGTTAGGCTTTATAGTCTCACTCTACTTGAGGCTGGAACACACCAATACAGATGCAGGGGGTGACAATACAACATTGGCTCACCATCAACCAATATATGCATATGCTACATCACCAATATTTACATGGCCTTTCTCATTTCTATACCTGTAATTACTTTCACATTCAGCTAGTGTACACATTAATTAATCTCTTATAATGTCTCTCTTTATTGAGGTGTAATGTTTTAGACAGTTTTGGTGGCCACTGGAGAGCACGTATGGGCCCATGGCACTGAGCCATCATCCCAATCATGGGCCCAATGTCCCAAAGTGGTGATGTGCATAAATGGCCCATGGCTCTAAGCTATTGCAGTGCATGTATGGGCCCATGGCCCTAAACTAACATAGTGCATCATAGGCCAGTTACTCAAGCAAAAGTAGTGCGTTTATGGGCCCATGGCCCCAGCAAACAAGGTGCTTTGTATGGGCCTGTGGCCCCAGCAAACATGGTGCTTTGTATGGGCCTGTGGCCCCAGCAAAACATGGTGCTTTGTATGGGCCTGTGGCCCAAGAAAACATGGTGCATGTAGGGTCCCTTGGCCCAAGCTAGTGCAGTGCAAGCGAATATAGTGCATTTATGGGCCTGCTGTCCAAGCGAACATAGTGCCTGCATAGGCTTGCGGCCCGAGTGGCCCTGAAAAAATGGAATGATGTTCTTCGCTGATGAGTGTATTCCTGAGCGAATGTTCACACCCACACCTCAAGTTGATAAAGCAAATGCAGTGGGCATGTCCCGAGCTTATGAGTGTAGGCAACCAGCAGAGGCTTCACGATATGGAGGCTATGCAGGGGTCACGGCTCCAGACTTTGCAAACATCAGTCACTCTTTGAACAGACCACAGTGGGCATAAACTTCATAAGCACCCTGCATGCAACACATACTAGTAAAAACACAGTAGATTAAAAGCACCTAAGTTTTGTAAGCACCAATCACTCTGAACAGTAGTAATTCTTACACTGGTTGTCATCCTGCTACACTTCATCCTCAAAATTGTATCTCTAAGATTGCTTTTTGCTTTACTGTTTTATCAATAACATCTCTTGTTTCTTTTCAGACTACTTAAACCAGATAGACTTCTCATGTGGGTCTCTCTTTATCTCTAATTGTCTCTGGGAGCACGCTCCACCCCAGGGGTCCCCTTCTGGCAGGATCTGCAAGGGTCTCAAAGCTTTTATTCCTGGGCCAAGGATGGGGCTTATTCGAAAGACGCTTTCATTCTTAGGAATTGTTGTACCACAAATTGTAACATCTTTATCGAGGATTAAAACAATGTTTTCCATCACTCCTGTCTCATGAGTATTTCTGGTAAAAATGGAAGCTTTAGCGCAAGTCCTGCCAGTAAGACTCTAACGCTACGTCACTCATTTATTTAATATTCTGACCAATTGCTGGCCTCCACCTGTCTTTAAAATGACTTGAATTATACATACATGTTCTGCTGTTTGCAGTTGCTGACATTTCAACGTTTCTCTCCTTCCTATAACGCACTAAATACTTCATAGAGGCTTGTCTTACATATGACTTCCATTCACATAATCATCTTTAAAATCTACCAACCATGTCTTTACCCTAACATAAACCTAAACAGAAAACTTTGGACCTCAGCCTATACCGGGTACTAATACTAACCCACACCATTGAGAATTAATTGACTTTAAACAAATAGTTTATAAATTATTTAAATATCTACACATCGTCAATTGGGTGCTTTCCAAATGAAGGCTTATTTTATTTGGAAAGCACCCAATTGGCGATGTGCAGATATTCAAGTCAAGAAGTCAAGACGTGCATGTGATCGGGTGTAGTAAGAATAAGACTTTATTTGGATATCCAACTGTTAATGCTTCATTATGTTTGTATTGCATTTATCTTGCATCCTGCTACCTGTCTGTTAAATCTTCTTTCATTTACCCAAACCTTGGCCCAACCTAAAACCTAAATCTAACTCTCACTCTAGTCCTTAACCCGAACCTTATACTAATACTAGCCTTACAGTGAAAAGGATGTGCATATCACAACCATTGGTCAAACAGTGGCACTGGACTTAATGCAGCTTGCAGCCATGTTGTGAAATAATCCATGGCCATGAGGACATAGTGGTTTCTGGCATCAGTGGTGGGAAAAGGGCACAGGACATCCACAGTGACCTTCTCAATCAGTGCACCAGATTGGAGGGACTGCATCTGGGTGTGAGACTGCTGTATTATTCCCTGTACAGCTCACAGAAATGCACATTCAACTCTACGTCCATGTGGCAGCCTGGCCAGTAGAACCTCTGCTGTAACCATTTCAGCATCTTGCCACACTGAAGTGCCCCACACCAGCCGCTCCATGCACAGTTTTCAGCACCATCATGAGTCTGCGCAACAATAGCATCTGCCAAATGTTTCCGAGCTGTCAAGTTCAAAGGCAGCTCGCCTAGGTACTGACAGCAGCCGTCAGAGTTCAGCACTGCATGTTATGGACATCCGGTGGCCGTGTGGCCACAGGGGTGGAACTGCAAATACCACACATCTGGCCACCGTTGATTACAGCAGCTGGATCATTCTCAGAACTGCAGTAACACTGATGTGGTGGTGGTGTGTTAGTGTGTGTTACGCTGGTAAGAGTGGATCAGACACAGCAGTGCTGCTGGTGTTTTTAAACACCTCAGTGTCACTGCTGGACTAAGAATAGTCCACCAACCAAAACTATCCAGCCAACAGCGTCCTGTGACAACTGATGAAGGACTAGAGGATGACCGACACAAACTGTGCAGCAGCAGATGAGCTATTGTCTCTGACCTTACATCTACAAGGTGGACTGAAAAGGTAGGAGTGTCTAATAGAGTGGACAGTGAGTGGACACAGTGTTTAGAAACTCAGCGCAACACACATTAACACACCACCAGTCACACACCGTCAGTGTTACTGCAGTGCTGAGAATGATCCACCACCCAAATAGTACCTGCTCTGTAAGGCTCCATGAGGGTCCTGGCCACTGAAAAACAGGGTAAAAGGGGGCTAACAAAGTATGCAGAGAAACAGATGGACTACAGTCTGTAACTGTAGAACTACAAAGTGCACCTATATAGTAAGTGGAACTGATAAAATGGACAATGAGAGTAGAAACAAGGAGATGGTCATAAAGTTATGCCTGATCGGTGTATATATATATATATATATACACATACACACACACACACACACACACACACACACACACACTAGGGAGTGCATATCGCTCAAGAGAATTGCGCTTAAGTTGACTGTCTGAATCCCAGATAATTGACACACCCCTGTTTTGCGCAAACTCAACGTTGTACTCGGAGCTGACGAAATGTAGTTGTTTGCAGTTTCAGTATCAAATCCTCACTGCGCACGCTGAACTCAGAATAAGGCCCATGACTGCTTTCTCTAGTAGACAACTCAGTACATCAGAGACACACAAATACAAAAGTGTTGTTAATCATTGCGGTTACAGTTCAAGACATAACCACGCCTCCTGAGTCTGAGCTCACACCCACAGGGAATCATAACAAGGTGGCTATTTAAGGCAGTCATCCTCGCCTTCAGAGGGCTGAGAACTACCGAGCAGACCATGCAGCTGATTTCAAGTCTGATGACGTTTATACAAATACTGGGGATATTTGAACTCAGTCCAGCATCTTGTAAAGCTGACCTGGTCAACTGCAGGCTGTGGGCTGAGCCTCAGATGCCTGGTCTTTTTAAGACTGGAGATTTTATAATTGGAGGGGCTTTTTCTATTCATTTCGACACAAGTGCAGACCAAAAAACCTACACTAGACAGCCACTCCAGCTACAGTGCTCTGGGAGGTCTGTCTGTGAGGGTGAACAGTTGCAGTGAGCACTAGAGAGAAATTATGCTAATCGAATTGTCACTTGTTTGCAGTCATGTGCTAGTTAATGACTTAGTGACATCTAAAATTATTTGGTAAAATGTATACTTGTACTGCATTGTTGGATCATGTTTACACACACAAACATACTTATTTATGTATGATGTAATGTTTCTAAACAGCATGATTTTCAGTGAGCTGCAGTTCGCTCGTGCCATGGAGTTCGCCATCCACGAGATCAACAACAGAACAGATCTCCTGCCGGGAATCACGTTAGGATACCAGATACACGACTCGTGCGGTGCAGTGCCGATGGCTGTTAAAGTTGCATTTCAATTTGCAAACGGCATGGAACCATTTTACAATGATACTGATTCCTGTTCAAAATCTGCAGCCGCTACTGTTCCTGCTCTCGTGGGAGATTCTTTTTCCACCTCTTCCATTAGCATGACAAGAATGTTGGGTCTTTTTGGAATTCCACAGGTGATTGTATGTTGCCTGAAATTGTGCAATATCATAAATCTAGTTTGCTATCATGTGTGTTTAGTAATAAATGATGAAGAAATATAACCAAAAATAAATAAGAGCAAAACTCCTTTCAGGTGTCTCAAATAACGCTTCTTTTCTTCTTTTCTATACTGAGTTACAGGTGAGTCACTACGCAACCTGCGCATGTCTGAGCGATAAGCGTCAGTATCCTGCCTTCTTCAGGACCGTGCCTAGTGACCATCACCAAGCGGCCGCACTAGCAAAAATCGTCAAGCATTTTGGCTGGACATGGATTGGGGCAGTGCGCAGCGACTCAGACTATGGAAATAATGGAATGGCGGCGTTTCTAAAGGCTGCGCAGGAGGAGGGCATCTGTGTGGAGTACTCCGAGTCCTACTACAGAACAGATCCGCGCAGTAAACTGGAGAGAGTGGCAAACGTCATCCGCAGATCAACAGCCCGGGTAATAGTAGCGTTCCTTGCCTCAGGCGAAATGAGGTTTCTTCTGGAGGAACTGACAAGACAGCCGCCGCCTCCTCTTCAGTGGATCGGCACTGAAGGGTGGATCTTAGATCCAGAACTTCTGCGCTTTAACATGTGCGCTGGGGCGATAGGATTTGGGGTCCCCCGCTCAGAGATTCCAGGTCTTCGTGAGTTTCTTCTGGATCTCTCTCCAGCACAAGCACTGAAATCGCCCCTGCTAACGGAGTTTTGGGAGAGCTCGTTCAGCTGTAGCCTGAAAGGCTCCTCAGAGGGCGCGCGGGAATGTGACGGCAGCGAGGACATTCGCGCGCTGCAGAACCCATACACAGATACATCGGAGCTTCGCGCGACTATCCTGGTGTATAAAGCTACGTATGCCATAGCGCATGCCATCCACGGTGTTATCTGTAATGACACTCAGTGTGACAAGAGCGCTAAATTCGCACCATGGCAGGTATAAAATTGCTTTGAATAAAACAGCCCCTGGCTTGCATTATAATCTGAATACGCATGATTACATTATATATATATATATATATATATATATATATATATATATATATATATATATATATATATATATATATATATATATACTGGCTAAATTAATATACTGTAGCAAGTACAGTATTTCATATTTTTTTCATTGCGGTGGCAATCGTCATAAGAAATATTTTACATATTTATATACATTTCAATTTTCAATAAAATAAAATTTTAATAGAAAAAAGCAAGCAATGAAACTTCGCCTTCTCTTAAAACACTTCAGCGTCTGTGAAGCTACTGTAGAGACATGCAAATGTCCATGCACATCACTAGCAAAAATCACAAAGAAGAATTATCAAAAATGATTTTTTCAGCTTTTTCATAATTTTAACATTGTGAAATATTATTTGTCACAACGAGTTTAGAATAGCCCACATATTTACTTTCAACCAACCACAATGCCAATATTAATTCAGAATTAGTTCGTGTATTTAGTAATGCATTCAGAAATTGATCACAGTTGAATATCACAATTACGTTCAGAGTCTTTCGCATTACATGTGCAATTACAGATACTCGATCAGCTCAAGAGAGTGAACTTCACTACAAAGAATGGTTTTCAGGTCTCGTTTGATTCCAGTGGAGATCCTGTGGCCGTCTACGATCTCATAAACTGGCAGGTTAAGAAAGATGGTGGTTTGGATTTTGTGGCTGTGGGTCACTATGACTCATCCAGACCAAGAGGCCAGGAGTTCAGTATGAGCAGAGCGATCAGCTGGATGGGGGGACAGACCGAGGTACAGTACGGTCTTCCTGCAGTCTTTAACTATACACTGTATATCCTGATATGTTAGCAGAACTCAAGTAATTTATCAGTTGAAATCATTAGTTTGAACTATATAGGATTAGTGTTGCCTTTTTTTTTGTGGTAAATATTTTCAGATAATAGAAGATGTTTACTCACTTTATTTACAGTAACTGCAATTTAAATTGACATAAATCATTACTGACATATTTTGTGGTACTATTGAATACTATTAGCTTAAAGAAAAACATGAAATGACTGGACACAATGACTAGAAAAATAAATCACATTAATTCTCTGCCTTACTGTAAACATTTGGCTAATGATGGCATTACATGAATGCTGGCATCAAAAAACTCTGGAATACTTTTCCTATAACAAAAAAAAATAAATAAATAAATAATGTAAATAAATACCTCACAGCCAAATTATTTAGATTCATGAACTACAATACAAAATGCCAGAAAATTATTATAAATACCTTTGAAATGCATTCAAAAAAATCACATGAAGATGACATGTATTAACTTCAAGTTAACATTTTTTGATGAGGCCTGATGAAATGCTTGCCAAAAAAAAAAATAAAAAATAAAAATAAGTGAAACTAGCAAACCACGTAAATGTCTAATATATCATCATATATAAAATTCATTCAAATATTATTCAGGTGTCAGTGAATCCATCATGTACAGTTATTTTTTTACTTAAAACACCAGATATTTCTTTATTTAAAGTTTCATTAAAGTTTCAAATTTCACAAACTTTAAAAAAAAATGTAAACATTCAGTATGTGTACTTTATTTTAATTGTTGATAATATTTTATATTCTTTACTCAATTCAATTAATGTTTGAGTGAAGGGGGTAGTGGTATATAGGGTAATATTATTTGAATAACACATTACAAATGCATTAGAAAGGCTTATTTTACATATGCCTTACATTCTTCAAATTTCCACCCTTGTCCTAACCCTAACCCCAACCTTAACGTCAACAGAAAACCTAACTCTCTCTCTGTTCCTAAAACTAAACTTGGCACTAATGCTAACACTAGTATTATTGAGAATCAAGAAACTTTCAGAAATAGTTTATTAATGAATTAAACTTCTGTACATCATTCATTTGGGGATTCCCAAATAAAGATAGCCATCCGCTAGTGGATGGGAATCAGTCTTGACTAAACTAGGGATTAAAACAAACATTACATCCATATGTGCTTATTTTTATACTGTACAAAAATGTTGACAACAATATGTGTACTTTGTTATAACTTTTGCATGTTTTGTATTTTCTTCATTTTTTCCAAGCATTACATTTCAACACTGGGGTACAATGTGAAAAAGGGTTTGTTAGTTCAACATAAAAAAATACTGCATGTGGTAACATTCAACTCAACAAGTTGTTTTCAACTTAAAAAAAAAAATACTTTAAAGAACTGTTCATTTAAAGAATTTACATAGTTTGAATAAAATTAGTCACATTGCTTGTTGACACAAAGAAATGTTTTAGGTTGAACTGACAAATGACTTTTTACTTTGTAGAATAAGAGAACATTCATCTATGCATTGCATTGTAACTTTCTGACTTTTTCCATTAACAATGAACGATTTGTCTAATGTCTTTCAGGTGCCAAGGTCTGTGTGCAGTGAGAGCTGTCCTCCAGGAACCAGGAAGGTTGTGCAGAAAGGAAAACCAGTCTGCTGCTATGACTGTATACCATGTGCAGAAGGAGAGATCAGTAACAAGACAGGTTGGGTATCACAATACAGTGGGAAATTTCACTGTGGACAATCATAGTTTAGTTTATTCACTTCCTTGTGGTTCTTTCTAAAATAAGTTTCTAAATATTCTTTTCTAATCTCTTAGATTCTTTGAACTGTGTGCGCTGCCCTTCTGAGTTCTGGCCAAACATTCAGCGAGACAGCTGCCTCCCCAAGACTGTGGAGTTCCTGTCCTGGGACGACACTCTGAGCATCATCCTGACAGTGTTCTCCATCACTGGGGCCTTCATAGCTGTATGTGTGGCTGCCATTTTCTACAAACACAGAACTTCTCCCATCGTCCGAGCCAACAACTCAGAGCTGAGCTTCCTGCTGCTCTTCTCACTGACTCTGTGTTTCCTCTGTTCGCTTACTTTCATTGGTCAGCCCTCTGATTGGTCCTGTATGCTGCGTCACACAGCGTTTGGGATCACCTTCGTCCTCTGCATCTCCTGTGTTCTGGGGAAAACAATAGTGGTGTTAATGGCCTTCAGAGCTACACTTCCAGGCAGTAATGCCATGAAATGGTTTGGGCCCCCACAACAGAGACTCAGTGTTCTTGCCTTCACTCTCATTCAGGTCCTAATTTGTGTTCTTTGGTTAATAATAGCACCACCTTTTCCTTTAAAAAATCTAAAGCACTACAAGGAAAGGATAATCCTGGAATGTGGATTAGGTTCAGCTATAGGTTTCTGGGCTGTGCTTGTTTATATAGGATTTCTGGCTCTTTTGTGTTTTATTTTAGCTTTTCTAGCACGGAAGCTGCCTGATAACTTTAATGAAGCCAAGTTCATCACATTCAGCATGCTCATATTCTGCGCAGTGTGGGTTACCTTTATCCCAGCTTATGTCAGCTCACCCGGAAAGTTCACTGTAGCTGTAGAGATATTTGCTATTCTGTCCTCAAGCTTTGGTTTGATTACTTGTATTTTTGCTCCCAAGTGTTTCATAATAATGTTTAGACCTGATCAGAATACCAAGAAACACCTTATGGGTAAAGGGACCCTCCAAGGCTCTTTGAACCCCTCACACAAATTGTAAATGAAGCACTGTGGTTCAACACATTATGTAAAATGTGCTAATTAATGATTAGCTTTATAAGTACATAGTACAACAGCTTTGTCCTTCTTTAAATTAAACTGATTTTTTTTGTTTTTTAAGTGCAAATATGTATAAGGAAGCTTTACATATGTATAGCACTAAAATGACAATTGATAGTTAATTATAGTGTCCAATTAAACTGAGTTGCTCATAAAACTTTCCAGTACTCTGTATCAATATGCAGTCCTTATGAGTGATATGAGAATGATTTGCCTTTTTTACATGCAATATTAAACAAGTAATGAAAGGCTCCTACATATTCAAGACTTGGTCCCTCTCTCTCCATCTCCCAATGTGATCCTGGACTTTGTAGCTTTTGAGGGCATTCATAACAGAACTGGCAATTTGCATTCTCCTGGCATGTGTTGAACTGTCCCATGATGTTAGCATCTGTTATAAATGACTCAGCTATGTGTGTCTCAGACTAAAGGGAGAAAAAAATGGACACACCTGAATGTCATAGTTGTTTGTTTTGTTTTTTTTTGTTTGTTTGTTTGTTTGTTTTTTTGAACATTTAATTCTAAATCCATGGGCATTAATATTTTAGCTTTGGTACACAAGAAGAACCAGCGAATGGCATTTTTACTCAAGGAAAGTGCTCTTTAATTGAACACAGCAGTAAGGCCACTAAATCACAGCAATAGCAGTTGGGAAGGCACAATGAATGTCCTACTGAACAGAGGGGGTAACCTGCAAAATACCTCTTCCCAGGCGAAACCAGCTTTCCCTAGCAGCATGAGTCTTATTTCCATTTTTGGCAAGTGCTGGCCTTGCCCTGGTGGTTCCTAGCAAGCTGATGAATGGTCTGGAGACAGTGACAGGGCTCCTTGGCATACACCACTCTGGGTGTGCTGTTCTCCTCCCACAACAACAGGCAGCTGCACACCAATTCAGTGGGCATCATAAGGTAATGTCTGATCATAAGAACAGCTGGGGTGAACCCGTTCAAGTATGCCAGCAGGACCAGAGGTGGGTGTAGCTACTAGTCATGCTGATGTTGGGCAGTGACAATGCTGAGCTGAGTGGTGAGCACCTAGTTAAAATGCTTAACAGGCCATCTCTTTGAGGGTGGAGTGGCAAGTTAGTCCAAGTCTTCTAAATGTCCTGCCGGTTATAGACCCAAGTTATGACATTGGTGAGGACAGGGCCTAGGATGTCCATGTGACCACAGCAGTCAGACACAGCAGTTTCCTTTTTTGCTGTGTACAGATCACAGCAATGCACGTTCAGCTCCATGTCCATGTGGCAGCCCAACCTGTAGAACTTCTGCCATAACCATTTCAGCATCTTGTCTACATCAAAGTGCTGCTCCATGCACAGTGTTCAGCAACATTGTCAGTCTGCGCAGCACCAGCAACTGCCAAATGCCCTTGCCCGACACTGGCCCCACCCACACACATATAGCTTCTCATCATACATCAGGAGGCTGTTCCAGCTGGTGCAAAGCACCTTACAGGGGGCCTGTACAGTGTCACACCCATCCAATCCAGTTTCTGCCCCACCTGGAGCCAACCACATGCCCAAGAGAATTCTGTGTCCTCTTCCTCGGGGCTCACAGCATCAAGTCTAGTGCCACTGGAAGCGACAGCAGCAGAACCAGTGCTCCTCTCAACTGTCTTCACTCAAAACTGTCACTCCTCAGCAGCACACAGGGAGCGGGACAGGACATAGACATTGCCAAGGAGGTGCCCAGCATGGTCTCAAATGGTGGTAAGTGGTACTCTTGCAATGCTGTGATCCAACTCATGACCTGATGCTTATGCTATTTTAATGGCCTGAGTCAGGTCAGCAAGGTCTGATAAGTGTGTAGGACCAAACCCGTAATGATTGAAATGGTGCAGCCCGAACATGATTGCCAACAGCTCTGCTCATCACACAGTAGTTGTGGCCAGGCCCTTATATGTGATAACTCTTTCAGTGTTGTCCTCTACCTATGAAAGGACAGCACCAATGCCCTTATTGCTGGAGTCTGTGTCCACAGCAAACTCACCACCCACCATAATTTTTCATTATCAATAAACCCACAAATGAAATCTCAGTAGCACAAAGCCAATGGACTGGTACGTTTTTATGGTAGGTGATACATCAGTCTGTGGGAACACCGGCAAGTACTCACTCCATCACCCATTTAACCCATCACCCGTAGTCTGAAGACCATTACTGTAAACTGCCGTAGCCTACCACGCAGCACACATGCCATCTTTTCTTGAACATCCAGAGTGAGTGTTACCTGCTGATATATGTTGAACCATGCAGAGCCAGTAAACTGATCCAAGGGATTGTCAGTGAGCAGGAGCAGATACAAGTTGGGCTTTGTGACAGTGTCATGCTGCCAATAATCCGCACAGAAATGCCAGCCATTATCCTTTTTCTACGCTAGCACCACTCTTGGACTACTCAATGGCTCTATGACTCCTGCCACTGCCACCTCTTTATTTTCTGCTCTGTGTCCTTTTTCTTAGCCAATGGAAGCTGATTGAGGTGGAACTGAATTAGATTTGCTCTGCCAATGTTGGTGCTATGTTTCAGTAAGTCTGTCCATGTAAAGTCTTTCTCTGTAGGCATGAAGATGTCGCTGTAATGGCACAGAAGCTCCCACAGCCACTGTTTTCCCTGTTAAGCCCAGCACATTATGCTGCCATTGCTTGCACACCAGTTGCAATCTCATGCAAACCTCCTCCTTACTTGTTGCTGCTGTCCTCCATGCCTCCACCTTCCTCCATTGTTTGTTGAGCTGTCAATGGCAATAAGGAAGCATCTCATGTGCACCTCCCATGACCCATGGGGATCCATCCACTGACATTGGTGCTGTGTGTTCAGCTCTGTCCGTATCAGCAGCTTCACCTACAAAAATATGTGGTGTCCTCAACCTGCCAGTGTGTCCCGCCACTGGAGATCCATTGACCAGCTTTGGCACTGCATGTTCATCTCCTCCAGTGCTGGTGGCTTCCCCCACAGAAAATGCTACACTGCCAGAAAGCCCCTATCTCTCTGCCTCTCTAGATTCACCATTTCCCCAGCTGCTGCCAGAAAATCCAAACTGAGTATGCAAGCGTCAGGCCTAATGCACTTTAAGAGTGCAAGCTAGACCTCCCAGCCATCAGGTGCTCTGTTCTTATGAATGGGAGCATGCCTGGTTGGAGACACTGACGAACCTGTGTCAATGACAGCAGTGATCTGTTTCCCATCTATGCTGCACTCAATTCAAAGCCCACAGCGGCAGCCAACCTTCTCAGAGGTGGCATTGACACTGAAGGTTGTTCTGTCCAGGGACTATTTCCACCCTCCCAGCACACTAGTCACTAGTCATGCTATTTCCTCCTCAAACTCCTTAGTCATGTAGTACTGGGATTATTCACCTCAGTGTCTTTTCACTGAGGATGAGTTCAGCCCTCTCTGCCTCAGTGGTGGCTACTTGAATGCTAGTCAGTGTGGTGAGCTGCAAGTACTGTCTCAGTCCCTCCAGCAGAAGCTTGTTCAGTAAATGTCTCAGCACCAAGTCCTCCTGTGCCTCCTTCTCAAACACTGGATATGCCTGCCAAACCATCATGCTAAGCGCCGCCAACAGCATGCTTATCCGCTCTGCCTTTTGCCTCTGTCTGTCCAGAACCAGTATTCTGACTGACAGTGTTGCTGGCACCTAACCAAAACACTGCTGAAGAGCTGTGGTCATGCCACTAGGTTGTCATGTTGCTAAGTCAGCAGGTCCACAAGCACCTGTAGTGTTTTTCCCTCCAGTGCCAGACACAGCTGTATGGTCCTGATTGCAACCATCCAGCTGTGATGCTGAGTGACTACTTGAAGCTTTAGCAGTTGTAGCATGGTAGGAGGATGTACGCCATGTCTCGTTCTCAACGGGCTCCACTGCTGGTCCTCACCAAGTTGTCCCTTTTGCCATCTCCTCTTATGTCATCCTCTTGTGGCTGGCTAAACATCTCGCTTTTGGCTGGCTTGACCCATCCGAGAGAGTGTAGGCATAGCAACTGGTACCCTGTTTCACTAGAGTCTTTTTGCTGTCTGCCAGTGAATTCATTGAGCTGTAGGTCGATTACTTACTATTGACAAAATCTCACTTCTGACACTTCTGTAGCATCGACACAGGAGAAGAACCAGAGAATTTTGTGCTAAAGAAAAATTATGTTTTATTGATGAAAGCAGAACAGGCCACTAAATCACTGCAAGAACAACGAGGAAGGCCACCTCCAGCCATACAACATCAGATAACATATTTTGTAGTAATTGTTCTCCTCTTGTTATGAGTAATGAGAAAAGACATTGTTTCATGGGTGGCAGAAACATACTAGCAATGAGGGTGGGAGAGTAGTAAGGATAACACCTTATTTTGGATAGTAAGGGTAGCGAGAAATATTACTAACTAAATATTGTGCTGAATTGTGCTTAACTGATGAAGGACAGTTGTACGCAATCAGTATTATCTCCTCACTGCCCCCCCCCACCCCATTGCATACAAAATACCACAATTCCCACTGTGTGTCACAATAAATTATACACACACATGCAAAAGAGTTTTTCATCATTGCAAATAGTACTCAAGACATAACCACGCCTCCTGAGTCTGAGCTCACTCCCAAAGGGCATCATAACAAAGCGACTACATAAAGGCAGTCACCCTAGCCTTCAGAGTGCTGAGAACTACTGAGAATGCCATGAAGCTCACTTCAATTTTAATGATGTTTGTGACAGTGCTATGGATAACTGGGCTCAGTCCAGCCTCTTGCAAAACTGACCTGGTCAGCTGCAGACTGTGGGCTGAGCCTCAGATGCCTGTTTTTTCTATGAATGGAGATTTTATAATTGGAGGGGCTTTTTCTATTCATATCTACACGAGATCAGAGCAGAACACCTACACCAGACAACCACTCCAGCCACAGTGCTCTGGGAGGTCTGTGTATGAGTGTAGAGTGAACAATTACAGAGAGCATTACAGAGAAATTATAATAATCAAATTGCTTTTTGCAGTCATGTGCTATTTGTTGAATTAGTGATGTCAAAGAGTATTTGGTAAAACAGATTTTGTGTATTTTTATATGTAACTTATGTTTGTAAACAGTATGATTTTCAGGGTGTTGCGCTTCGCCCGTGCCATGGAGTTCACCATCCACGAAATCAACAACAGAACAGATCTCCTACCGGGAATCACGTTAGGATACCAGATACACGACTCGTGCTCTGCAGTGTCGATGGCTGTTAAAGTTGCATTTCAGTTTGCAAACGGCATGGAACCATTTTTCAGTGATACCGATTCCTGTTCTAAATCTGCCTCCGCAGCTGTTCCTGCTCTCGTGGGAGATTCTAATTCCACTCCCTCAATTAGTATGGCCAGAATACTGGGTCTTTTTGGAATTCCACAGGTGATTGTAGGAAACATCAAAGGGTGCAACCTAAAAAAATACAGTTATATCTATTTTTGTGACAAAATTATGACTTTTGTATGGCATCAATGACTTGTAAACCCATAGGCTTATTTTTGCTCAATGCAGTATGCTTCTTAAATAACACTTCTTTTTCCTTTTATTTTCGAAGTAACAGGTGAGTCACTACGCAACCTGCGCATGTCTGAGCGATAAGCGTCAGTATCCTGCTTTTCTCAGGACCGTGCCTAGTGACCATCACCAAGCGGCCGCACTAGCAAAAATGGTCAAGCATTTTGGCTGGACATGGATCGGGGCAGTGCGCAGCGACTCAGACTATGGAAATAATGGAATGGCGTCATTTCTAAAGGCTGCGCAGGAGGAGGGCATCTGTGTGGAGTACTCCGAGTCCTACTACAGAACACAACCGCGCAGTAAACTGGAGAGAGTGGCAAACGTCATCCGCAGATCAACAGCCCGGGTAATAGTAGCGTTCCTTGCCACAGGGGACATGAGGTTTCTTCTGGAGGAACTGGCAAGACAGCCGCCGCCTCCTCTTCAGTGGATCGGCACCGAAGGGTGGATCATAGATCCAGAACTTCTGCGCTTTAACATGTGCGCTGGGGCGATAGGATTTGGGATACCCCGCTCAGAGATTCCAGGTCTTCGTGAGTTTCTTCTGGATCTCTCTCCAGAACAAGCACTGAAATCGCCTCTGCTAACGGAGTTTTGGGAGAGCTCGTTCAGCTGTAGCCTAAAAGGCTCCTCAGAGGGAGCGCGAGAATGTAACGGCAGCGAGGATATCCGCGCGCTGCAAAACTCATATACAGACACGTCGCAGCTGCGCATCACTAACATGGTGTACAAAGCTACGTATGCCATAGCGCATGCCATCCACGGTGTTATCTGTAATGACACTCAGTGCGACAAGAGCGCTAAATTCACATCATGGCAGGTAAAAAACTGATACATTTGAAAACAGACCCTAGCTTGCTAATTATATTTGTTTGTGTGTGTATATTTGTGTGTGTATGTGTGTATATATTTATGATGCATGTTATCAAATTATATGTGCCACTGCAGATACTCAACCAGCTCAAGAGAGTGAACTTCACTACAAACAATGGTTTGCAAGTCACGTTTGATTCCAGTGGTGATCCTGTGGCCGTCTATGAGCTCATAAACTGGCAGGTTAAGAAGGACGGTACACTAGATTTCATCACTGTGGGCCACTATGACTCCTCCAGACCAAGAGGCCAGGAGTTCAGTATGAGCAGAGCTATCAGCTGGATGAGAGGGCAGACTGAGGTACAGTTCAACACTTCCATCACTATTTGACTGTAAGCCTGGATATTTTCACAGAATTCAAATTAATCGAGACA